CTGCCTCTGGCTGGCTGCCTGGGCTCGCTGTTGCTACCTCTCCTCGCGGAAGCAGGGAGGCAAGGTTTGTTTGCGGTGCAATTGCGCGGAAGGTAGGGAGCAGCACGCGAAGGATGCGGCCGAGAGGAGGGGGGAGGCAGCGGCACTTGGCTCCGGCTTAGTTCTCGAGACTCCCCAAAGCCGTATATAAATATCTCTCTTAGAAAAGCCGAGGAGAAGCGAATCAGATTCCAGGCTGCTGCCAGGTGTTGTCTTGTCTTCCGCCCGTTGCTCAGCACCCGCCGCCGCGACTGCTGCCCCCCTGGCTCAGTTCCCAAAGGGGTGGCGCTGGAAGAGAGGTGGCGGGGCGGCGAGGTGACCGTCCGAGGACTAGAAAGCGAGGCTCTCTCGGAGAGGAAGCGGGCTCCCAGCGATCTCCGCCGCCGCCGCCTTTGCTGCATTCAGCACCCGGGGCGAGTGGACAGCTCCCACCCAGCCCCAGAGCGTCACGCTACTGGGGGGCCTGACGCAGACGCCTCGGATGGGTGGAGGAGGGAAAGGGGACGCGGGGAAGAAGCCAGAGGGAGAGGGAGCCAGGAGAGGAGAGAGCTGTGCAATGGAAGGGGGGCGGGGGGGGGGGCTGTGGAAGGTGGACAGGGAGGAATTTAGGGAGGAGAGGAGAAAAAGTGGAGTAAAAGGCAGAGGGAGGAAGGTGAGTGTGCGAAGGGCAATTCAAGTGCGCACTCTTACCTACTGCCCCCCATTGAGAGTGTCGCTGTGGATGGCACAGTTGTAGAATTTCTGTCTTCTGTACACTATCGCTCACGCCCCAACGCACACACACACGCACTTACCCATCCCAATCTGAGTCCATTTCCCAGTTCATATAAGCATTTTAAGCAGATAGCAGTCCGCAAGGCCGGGTTAGCGATAGTTTGGAGACTACCACATGGACATGGAACCTGGGCTATGGATGTCAACGCATCCCTCCTGATGAAGACGTCCTGAGAAAGAAATATTGCAAACCTTCCATGAATTCTTCTAGATCTGAAGCTCCACAGGGCTTTTTTCCCCCTTTGACGCTAAGTGCCTAGGTCAGTGTCTGCCTGTGAGCTGTGCTAGCATGTACCAGATACTCAGCGCACATGCACTTCATCGCTGTCATCAGCATTTCAATCCATGAGCTCTTCCCAGTATGAATAATAAGAGGAGCATCTTCTATGCAAAGAATGCATGCATCGTATGCTTTTTGCAAGCCGCAAAACCCCCATCAACCTGTTTCCCAGGTATGCAATGTGCGCATGTTATATGCAAAAAACACAGGTATTACAGCTTCATCTTAACTGACAGCCTCAGCTTCTTTCCTATTCAAGCGTTCCACTGAGCCTCTGACAATAGGTAATTTAAAATAGATTTTCATGTCTCTCCTATTTCTGCTCTTGCTATAAGTCATCCCACCCCAGCTTTCTCAAGGAGTTGCTAGTGAGTACAAAAGTGTCTCCCCAGGAGAGGAGTGGGTGGTCCTCACAAATACTCAGTAAATACAACTGTTGTTGATGTTGTTAGGGGTCGTAGAGCCATTTTTCTTGACCTGTGTCTGGGTTCCTCATGAGTATCATTAAGTAGTCTAGAGTTCCCACTATCACAATGGTATCTATAGCTTATTGTGTCCCACACAGTCTACTGAACGCCTTTGCGAAGTCAATAAAACCCAGGTAAACAGCTTCCTGGTAGTCTCTGCTTTCGGCCGAGATCCATCTGTAACTATAGACTTTAGTCGTTTAAAACTTAGGACGACTTTCTTGACTTTCCTCATAAGTGTCTGTCTCTTTTATTTCTCTCAGTGCCCTAGACCTCCCCACACACCCCTCATCGAGTCGGAGAAGAAAATTCAATGAGCTTTCCACGCACCTGTAATGGTGTCTTTAGAAGTCTTGCAACTATAGACAGAGTAACAAGAAACACATTTCTGCTGCCAAATATCAAGAATTCAAGAATCCCAAGAACTCTACCCCATTTGCTGCCATTTCCATAAATGATGCATTCCTACAAGTATTGAGGAACAAAGCCCTCAGTGCTATTGCATCGTGGTGAAGCCAGGGGAGCTATGAATAACAATGAAATCATATGTGTATTCTTGATAACAGCATTAAGGCTGACCTGCAGAAGAGACCTGCTTTGTTATTTTTTAGTTACTTCAGCTCTGTGCTCCAGATCACCTTATACCTGCCTCTAATAGTAATTAACTTACCTGATCATAATTAACTCATCATACATTCATCTCCTCTCAGAAGACTCCGAAACCATTGAAGAAATGAGCCAGGTTCATATTTGTGTGATCAGCACATATCACAACACCAGAATTGTGGTAGGCGATCAAGAGAATGAATGTGACTGAATGAATGGGCTCTTCGTTTCAGTGAGACTACCAGAGTTCTCCCCTCCAACCTAGACATTCTCATGGTGTTGCTTCTAGGTGCTGTCAGATCCATTCTGACTCAGACCTACCTGAGGTCCAGCAGGATGGAAAGTTTCTTGGTACCCCCCTACCTGGCAGTTGTTACTGTTTGAGCCCATTGTTGCAGCCACACTGTCCATCCATCTTGTGAATCTTCCTCTTTTTCACAGACCCTCTCCTTTACCAGGCACGATGTCTTCCTCCAAGAATTTGTCCCTTTTAATAACATGTCCAAAGGATAAGTGTGTTGGGCAGGGTTCTCTAGAAAAAACAAACAAACCAGGAAACTTATAATTATATATATGAGGATAGGTTTCTACAGCGAGAAGGAATATAACAGCTAATTAGTACAGAGGTTAGTATAGCTAATTAGTACAACAAGCAGTACAGAGGGTTCAGTTCAACTCACTTCAGTGGAACAGTTAATATACTGGAAGTCCTTCAACTCACATGGGCTGCTGGGTCCAAGGTCAAGGAAGCAGACAGCACAGTCCTCCCTTGGACAAGGCAGGCAGCATCTGCCCACAGGCAGCAAACAGCAGGGTTAGCAACAGTCAGTAAGTAGGCAGGGAGCTTAGCAAAGTAGGCCCGGATGGAATATAGAACTCAAGCAATGCAAGGCAACAGGATCCACCAGCCCCAAGCTCAAGCAATGTATGCACCAGCAGCATGGCAAAGCAGATCTCGAAGGAGCCTCAAGCTCTAATGACATGATCTACAATCCACGGGTTGGCTGGGCCCACAGGTAGTGTAGCACACAGGTTAAGACAGAGAACTAGCTAAAGCAGCAGCACGCTGGTCCAGTCACCAGAGAGCAAGCAAGAAGGAGGAGATCCTTGTAGACCCATTTATCTCTTTGGCCTCCAATCAAACTGCAACCAGATTAATCCCACGTGTTCCTATTGGCCAGGTTGGCACAATAAACCTAACTATCACACTGAGTGAAAGTCTTGCCATACTTGCTTCTAAGGAGCATTGTAGCTGTATTTCCTAAAATTTTTGTTCATTGTCTTGAAGGCCCATAGAATATTCCAGAATATTCCTTGCCAACATCATATTTCAAGGGCAGCAATTCTTCTTTGGGCTCCCTTATTCATATCCAGCTCTCGTATGCATATGAAGTTATTAAAAATACCGTGGCTTGAGTGAGGATCGCTTTGGTCCAAAAAGTAGCATGTTTGCACTCGAACACTTTAAAGAGGTCTTTTGTAGCAAATTTGCCCAATACAAGTCATCCTTTGATTTCTAGACTCCTGCTTTAATGAGCATTGGTTGGCGATCCAAGCAATTTCAATTGGATCTTTGTTTATTGCGATGATGCTTATGAGTCTAGTTGTGAGGAGCTTTGATTTCTGTATCTTGAGGTAACTCATCCTGAAGGATAAATCTTTGATTTTCGTCAATAAGTGCTTTCAGCAAGCAAGATTGTGCTCGCTGTTTGTCACAGGTTGCTAATGAGTCTTCCACAAAGCCATTGCCACATTCTTCATCTATAGCCCACGTGCAGACTAAGTTTACTGAAAATATACAATCTGGACACACATCCTTCCTAACTTGAAAACACACAGTATTTCTGTGCTCTGTTTGAATGACTGCCCCTTGTTCTATGTGCAGGTTCCTCATGAGCTCAATTATGTGTTCTGGAGTTCTCATTCTTCGAAATATTATCCATAATTTGTTATGGTTCGCATCGGTGATTGCCTTTGAAGAGTCAATAAGACATAGATAAAGAAAAGTATTCTGTTATTCTCTGCTTTTAGTCAAAATTCACCTGACATCATCAACAATAATCATTTGTGTTCCACATCTTCTGAATTTCTGGCAGTCTCCTGTCAAGGCACTGCTACCATTGTAACAAATGTTTATTTGCAAGTGCTGTTAATGATGTTGTCCAACAATTTCTGCATTCTGTTTCATCACCTTTCTTTGGAACGGGCACAATTATAGATCTCTTCCCATTGGTGGGCCAGGCAACGATCTTCCAAATTTCTGCTTCCAGAATTGCATCTGTTTGCTGAAATATCTCACTTGGTTTTTCATCACTTCCTGCAGCTTTGCCTCACAGCTTCCTGCAGCAATGTCTTCAGTACAACCTGGAATTCTTCCTTCCATCTCATCGATCCTTGATCATATTCTACCTCCTGAAATGGTTGAACATTCTTTAGTTTCTTCGGGGTTCTTTTTCTTCTCTGAAACGCCTTGCCTGGTTTA